TGTTTGTTTGTGTGTGTGTGTGTGTGTGTGTGTGTGTGTGTGTGTGTTTTAAGGAATTTGCCCATTTTATTTAAGTTTTCAAATATATGGATATAAAGTTCATTTTTTACTTTATTTTCCTTTTAAGATCTGTAGGATCTGCAGTGATGCTTCTCTTATTCCTGATATTGTTAATTTGTGTTTTTCTCCTAATTATTCTTGGTAAGTGCTTATTATTTTTATTAATTCTTTAAAAGAAAAAAGAAACCTGCCCGGCTGTGTGGCTCAGTGCTTGAACATTGACCTATGAAACAGGAGGTCATGGTTTGATTATTGGTCAGGACATGTGCCCTGGTTTAGGACTTGATCCCCAGTAGGGGGCATGCAGGAGGCAGCCCATCAATGATAGTCTCTCATCATTGATGTTTCTATCTCTCTCCCACTCTGAAATAAATAAAAATATATTTAAAAAAGGAAAGAAATAATACTTTCCACATTGTTAATTTTCTCTATTTTGTGCTGATTTCTAATTTGATCTTTTATCATTCCTTTCCCACTATTTAACTTGGATTTAATTTGCTTTCTCTTCCTCAAGCTTTGTAAGGTGAAAACTTAATTTATTTTAAATATTTCTCTTTTCTCTAATTTAAGAATTTAATACTATAGATTCCTCTAAAGTACTATTTTGGCTGCATTTTGTAAATTTTGATATATTGTTATAATTCAGTTTGAAGTATTTTCTAATTTCTCTGTGATTTATTCCTTGGCCAATGGATTATATAGAAATGTGATATTTAATTTACAAATACTAGAAGATTTCCTAGATATCTCATTTTTTCCTTAATTTAATTTCTTGTCAGAGAACACATTGTGTAAGTTTTTAATCTTTTGGGTTTTAATTGTACATTTGGTGTTTCTCATCACCAGTTTTGGCCATTATTTCTTAAGATATTTTATCTGTCCAAGGATCCCTCAGAACTTAGTTATATGTATGTTAGGTCATATTATATTGTCCCAAAGATCCATGAAAGTTTATTAAATTTTTTTCATTAGTTCTTTTTCTTCAAATTGGAGTATTTTTATTATTCTGTATTTAAGCTCTCTGCTCTTTCTTCTATAGTTTGCTCTTAAGCCCATTTTGTAAATTTTTAAAAATGATTGATTTTTTGAGAGAGAGAAAGGGGAAGGGAGAGAGAAAGAAACATTGATGTGAGAGGGAAATGATGATCAGCTGCCTCTTGTGTGCCCCATACCAGGGACTGCACTCACAACCCAGGCAGGTATGTGTCCCAAGCAGGAATCAAACTGGCAACCAAATAATTAAGTTCTTTTTTAAGTAGCCCCTATGCTAGAGGCTTTTATTATGTTACCTGGAATCATCATCATAAAAACCTGTGTGTGTGTGTGGTAATTAGTCTTCCTTATTTTATAGAGAGGAATTTAGCAAACAATAAGAATTGAAAATGAACATTATGACTTCTGGTTTCTGATGTAGCATGCAAAGAGCTTGGATATCTCCAATCTGCCCTAACAAGAAATAAAAAGATGAACAAAGTAAAAAATAACAACTCTTTTTAGATCCCATTAGGGATGTGAAGCCACAAGGCAAACTGCTGCCCTTATTTCTTATGGGTCATCTAATATGGAATACCCTAAAAATCTAACCTAAAGAAATCTGATATCCAAAAAACGAGTAACATATGAAAGTTGTGCCCTTAGAAGCAAATTTTTTACAAATACCAGAACAATAAATTACTTAATTTGCCTATTCACCATAAAAATTTCAGTGATTTTAGAAAGATATATAATAAAATCATTTGATGTTCTTTTTCCTGAGTAAGACTCAAAGGCCTCTCTGTGGGAAATGGCTTGCAGCCACTCAGTGGAATAAAATGCTCTAATTATTCTCTGTTTTTCATCTCACTTTAAATCCTACCGCACAGATTATGTTTAAGGGTAAATTTGAAATTCATTTCTCACATCAGATTTTGCTAGTCCTTTTTATGAATCTTTAAAGCATGATTTTTGAAAAAAGATATTAACTCTAGTTTTAAAAATGCACTTTTTTGAGTGATTCTGAAGTGTTTGGCAACAACCATGTTATTAGACAAAACTGAAATAATCATCAAGCTGAGAAAGAGTTTATTTTATACAAGAAAGTTAAAGGTTGGTGTCCTGATCGTTCCAAATATTTAACATGTAAAGACATTTGAGAAGCCTAGGATTTGCTCTCTTTCTGTCTTCAAAATGATAGATTTTACTTCAAAGTTTATAAGTGGAGCCACAACTGCATATAGCTACAAAGGAGCATCTATCTTAGCAGGTTCAGAACATGAGAAAACCCTTTCTAGAGAGCTCTGGAAAGTTTGTAAGGTCTTGAAATTTGTGGGGGGAAAAAGTTTTATTTGTTCACTCATTTTTAAATGAGTTACATCATGATAATTGGCTGCATGTGTTTGGAAGCAACCATTCCCCACTTTTCATTTAGCATGCTGTAGCACGTATTAGCTTAATTCCTCCCAGAAATGTGAATGTCATCAAATAAGAAATGTATGAAGTTACCATTTAAAAATAAATAAGCAATTAGCATTTTTAGGAGAACCATTTCCATGAAATTCCAAATTTTATGAACAAGTGCTAAGCATTTTCAAATCAGTTGTTTCAAGGATTTGAAGAAATTTGTTACTATTAAATCTTGGTTGATGAACAATGATAGAAGGTTATATAATCTCAAAATTTTTGTTTTGGATCATCAGGGATTAAGCACATGGAATATTTTCTGTGATAATAAAGTGGGGCCAGGGCAAAGTATTCTCAAAGAGTTTGTTTTTTAGTAGGTTCTCATCAGAAATGGTAAGGAGAGTATCGAATGCTACCAACAAAGGCATGGGCATAGTAATTCCAAATATCAACACTAAGATTCTGCCTCTCTTATAACTAGATTAATTACCAAGTGAATTCTGGTCAACTAGCCTTTTGGGGATTAGTGAAAATATTTAAAGGAAGAGCCAGAATAGCCCAAGAACTAGTTTTCATCCTTTTATAATTGTGATGGTTGAACAGAGGCCCAGGACAGTGGACTCTTTGAATTATATGGAAATTAAATTATACCTTATACATTTCAATAGCAGCATGTAAATTGCAAGTTTCTACTAAGGTATTAGTATCCAATAGATGTCACATACAAAGTGCCAGTCCAAGATGCAGAAGGATATACCTAGAAACTGGTCACATAATCTTAAAAACTCTTCACCCATATGAGGGTGTTAAAGTATAGATTGTTAGATATTCGAGGAAGGTTTTTAAAGGAAGCTTTATTTTGAGAAAATGGTACTGTGCATCTTTTTCTCCACACCTCTCTACCAGGAATAGGGGGAAAGCGCTTCCCTCTTCACCTAAGGTCAAGAGAGAAGGGCTATCTATTACACTTGTTATACATTTCCTATCACTGATATGGGAGACTGCCATGAATTGACTTCTTTCCAAGAAATCTAGAGAATAAAAGATAGATGGCCTAGTTACTTTTGTGATGGGACAAAGGAGATTTGCCACTGCATTGTGATAGGCCTGCACTTCTCACAATATGTTTTTGGGGAAAGAATCCATTAATGTTTTTAGTAGGTCAGATATGGGGTCATACGAACAAGGGCCATTATGGGGAGCATCTTAGATCCACTTAAATGGAAGTTCATAGAAAGACAGATAGGCCTCAGCATAGGTGGACTTCTGTGTCCCTAGCCTTTGGAAGGAATAAATTACTGCCAGAACAGAGTAAGTTCTCTAAGTCAGTGATTTTCATCCAGTGTACTGTGGAACACTGTAGCATCACAAAAATTTTTAAAACATATAATACTTAATTAACATTTAATTAAATAAGGGGTTTTTTGCTTTTCTAAACATTTCTCTTACTTTATGTGAACCCTTGAGCAGGAAGTAGATGTAATTTTGAATTAAGTATAAAGATTTGAATATAACCTGGGATTAGAGATTTTGTGAAGATCGAGACTATAGTTGATTCTTAAGGTGACCATAAAACATTTACTACCTGAGAGTGATAATTAAAAGCCATGGAAAAACCTAAATTCCATATAGAGCAGTGGTGATCAACCTTCCTAATGCTGTGACCCTTTAATACAGTCCTCATATTGTGGTGACCCCCAAACATAAAATTATTTTCATTGCTACTTCATAACTGTAATTTTGCTACTGTTAATAAATTGTAATGTAAATATCTGTGTTTTCGATGGTCTTAGGCAACCCTGCTAGCGGTTCTCAACCTGTTGTGACCCACAGATAAATTACTTGAAGGATTTTCCCTCATGATGGGGCAAAATCAGTATTAGACCAAAGGTTGCTCCGGTACTGCTTAACACAACTAAAAATTAGACAGCTAAAGAATCAAATTGGTTCTAAGAGAGAGGAGTTTGGGAGAGTGACTGAGTTATTTATGCATACCAAGGCTCATCCCTGAGTTAGGCATGCATAAATCTGGTCCTAAATACCATATTTAAAACTGAGAATGGAATTAAGAGCTAGACTGAGAGAGTACCCCCCACGTTCTGTGTGGTTCAGGGTTCAGCTTCAGGTTTTGGGCACCGGAGGAGGCCGTACACAAATGAAAGAGACAAGAAAATACTAATTTGGGAATTGGGGTCCATGCAGAAGTCCAAAACAGGACTTCGCTTTTTCTCTGGCCTTGCAATTCTTTTATTCAGGTTTGGGATCCAGTGATAACCCTTAGGCAGGCAATTTCCAGTAACAGGCAAACTATCTCATCAGTAAGGTTTTACATGAGAGTAAAAGGTGGAAGTTGCTTCAGCTAGCTTTGTCTCAACTAGACAGTGGGTGTATGGCTCTGACCCTTGCCAGAGCCTCAAGGTTGACCAGCCTTCCGGATTCCTTGTCCACTCTTCTCTGCTAGTGAAGGTAAAAGGCAGCTTCCAACACTAGACCAACGATCAAGGGTCATACGGCCACTGAGGGTAGACACAAAGTAAAATACAGTTAAACTTTGCCTCCCATCTCAAACAATTCGGTTCTCTACCAAGTTGTTCATGGGGAAACAATGTCTTGGTTGTGGAACAAAACTTCAGTTCTTGACCTAACAACCCTTTCATGCTGATACATCAGCATGACAAAAAGCCCAGGCACAAAGAAAGGAGAGAATCCACCAATATGAATCAGTTTATAGCTAAACCTCACCTGGTTAACATCTCAGGAAGTTGTGCTGTGAATATTTTTGTGTGCTTTTTTTTTTTTTTTTTTTTTTTGCTTTTGTTGCTGGCAAAATGAATGATTAGCACATTTTTAAAACATAAAGAAGCTATTAAGAATATTAACATTTTTAAGGGTGTGAAAGAAAAAATGTTCACAGGCAATTGAAGAGTTAGAAAAACTCTTGTTTATTTGGAATAATGAAAAGCAGTTAGCCAGTGACAGCATTTTGGAAGCAATGACATATGAAAAAGAGAAGATGCTGTATACTGAGCTCCTGAAAGACACTCCTGGAATGAGTGCTGAAAGTGATTCATTTAAGGCTAGCAGAGGATGGTTCAATAAACTTAAGAAAATAAGTGTTTGTTTACATATTAAATAATACATTATACATGTACAGTATATAAGAAAAGTTAAAATGGAATCATTTGGGGGGTCTGGAATGAATTAATTCAATTTACATTATTTCTAATGAGAAAAAATCATTCGGTTTTTGAACAAATCACTTGTCAGGAAGCATTCCAGAATGAATTAAGTTTAAGAACCAAGGTTCCACTGTATATTAAAATAGCACTGTAAAGTCTTTGAAAATAGGACTCTCATTGAAATCATAACCCAAGGAGGACTAGTCTGAACTTGAATAAGACCCAGAGTTTTACTATTCAAAATATTTAGGATGTATTCAATATTACATGTCATACAAAATCCAGGAAAATCTTAGCTTGCATTGAAAAAAACAATAAGCATGCAAATATGACATAAATGTTGGAATTATATGACAGATTCTAAGCTACCATAGTAATGTACCAACAAGTTAATGTGTACACTCTTAAAACAAATGGAAAGAAAGACTGTCTCAGTAAATAAATAGAAAATATAAAGCAGAAGTAAATGGAATTTTAGAACTAAAATATAACTAAAATAAAGTCACTATAGAGCCTTAATAGCGACATAGAGATGACAGATGAAAGTGTCAGTGAATGCGAAGATAGATCAAGAGAAACTCATCAATCTTAGCAAAAAGAAAGAAAGGTAGAAAGATAATTTAACAGATCCTCAGGGATCTGAGAGTCAAAACTAAAATGTCTAACATGCATGTCATTTGAATCTTAGAGGGAGAGGAGAAGAACTGCATTGCAGAAAAAAATGTAAAAAACTTATAAAATTTGTTGAAAGATATAATCCTGCAGATACATGAAGCTCAGAGAATCCCTAACAGTATAAACCCAAATACATATGTATAGACATGTCATAATCAACCAGCTGAAACTTAAAGCAAAGAAAAAATAATATGCTGAAAGCAGCCAGAGAAAAATGATGTATTATTTATAACTACAATTTAAAACATTGCAGATTTCTTATTAGAATCCATGGTGGCCAGAAAGAAGTAGAACAAGAATTTTTAAAGTGCTGAAAGAAAAGAACCATCAGCTACAAATTCTGTATAGTTGAAAATACCCTTCAAAAAGAAGGTTAAATATATTCTCAGACTAATTAAAATAACTCATTTCTAGGAAACCTCTTGTCCCAATTATGCCCCAATTAATTGATTATCTGTATAGACTTAGTGGGACAAATGCAAGTGACCAGGAGTCAGCAATAATGGCATATCTTCTGGTGTTTCAATGTCTAGACAGCTGAGCCAAACCAGAACACATGACACACAAGACAGAATTAGTATGCAATCATACAGGGTTTATTTACCTATTCCTAGAGGGTTCTAGGCTCTAGTAAAGGCCACCCGGCGATACACACTAAAGGACAGACGATGAAAATAGAGACAGGCAGGCGGCGACAGTTGGTTCAGGCTCACATAGCAGAGCAATCAGGGGCTTGTCTCTCGGAGCGACGTGGAGACCTCCCTCCTCTTATAGGATAGGAGACCACAACTGAAGCTGGTCCTGGGGTTATATAGACCACGGTAACCAACTGTGTTCTTATTGGTGTGGCCCAGCCAGTGTACCTTATGCTAGGAGCAGGGCGGTTACACTTGAAGGGCTCAGAGCTTTTACAAGATATTGGGGTGTTCATTAATTTTGGAAGGTATAGAGTATTGGGGGTTTCCATAAAGCAAACATTTCATACAATAATTATTTCATACATTAGAGGGGTTACATTATTATAACATTCCACCCGGTGGTCCCTGAGGGGGCCAAAATTAATATAGTTTATTCCTTCTGTAGCGTAAGAATCTAATGAAGAGGGAGATGAGGGAGATAATGGCCAAGAGAAATAAAATGGTTTTAGCTGTTTGCCAAGCAGAGGTAAGGGAGTTTCATTCTTTTTGGATGTAATAGATGGGGTTAAAAAGATTCCAGTGGGAAACGATGGTGGTCCCGAAGTCACAGTACTACTTATCAAGGTCAGCCAGGTCCACAGCTATATTGAGAGTCATGCTGCTGGGTATCAAGAGCAGGTGGTTGATGGCTTTTGATGTTGCTCCAAGTTTCTTGATGGTGTCATCAGAATGTTTCTGGAGTTCTTTTAACTTAGAAATAGTGTTATTAATGGTCATTAATTTTGGAAGTTACAGAATATTGAGGGTTTCCATACAGCAAACATTTCACAGAATAATTATTTCATACATTAGAGAGATTACATTATTATTATAACACCTCTTCTAAAAGAATTTCTAAAGTAAATTCTTCAGATGGAAGGGAAATGGTGCTAGAGGCAATTGGAAAATTAGAAATGAAGGAAGATCAATAGGAATGGTAATTTTTATGTCACGTGCATTTTACTACAATAAAAAAGTAAAATGATGGAAAAACTTATATTGTGAAAACACTAATAAAAGGAAAGTTGGAGAGGTTACATTAATATCAGACAAGGTAGACTTCAGAGAAAATTACCATGAGCAAAGAAGAATATTACATAATGAAATAAGGATCAGTTCATCAAGAAAACAACAATCCTACATTTGTATGTACCTAACAACAAAGTTTTGAAATACATGGAGCAAAAAGTTACCAGGATAAATTATTTAGATGTCCCTCTTAAAATATTAGATTTAAGTTGTATAAAATGTATTCTAAACTACAGCATCAAAAATCAGAATAATGGTTACCTGGGTACAAGAAGGTAGAATTACCAAGGAGCATAAAGAAACATTCAGGAGTGATGACTATGTGCACTATCTTGATTGTAGTGATGGTTTCTTATGTATACACACACACTTTTAAATGTATTAAGTTGTATACTTTAAATATATATTGTTTAATGTACACTAGTTATGCCTCATTAAAGGTATACAGAAAGTTAAAAGAGACAGGAACACATCTAATCTTCCACAGTTGTCTTACTTCATAGGTTCCATATTTCTCTCTATTCCTACTTTTCCCCACCAAATATGCTGTTTACCTTTTTTGAATAGCACCTTTTTGTTCATACATCAAGGAAAGTCAAAGGAGTGAGGGAAGTTTTGGAATGTGTTTATCTTACCATTTAGCTGAGAAAAAGAGAAGTTAATCTAAAGGGAGAGAATATGGGAAGGACAGATTTTTAAAAAATTGTTTCTCTTAAGATCTTGAATCTTGAAATCATAAAACCAACAGTTATTGACAAACTTGGTCTAGTGGAAAAAAAGCAATAAAGAAAAAAACACCCCATAAAGCAATGAACAAGTTTAATATCATTATTTATTAGGGCATGCAAATAAAAATCCTAGTGAAATATTATTTCACACTCACTAGAATGTCCATAATAATACTTTTTAAATGGGAAATGTGTTTGCAAGGATATGGAGGAATTGGAATCCTTATACAGTGCTGGTGAATTATATATTTATGGTCTGCATGTGTGATGTGATATCTCTCAGTAGTGATCTCTGGATTGTTTGCATTGATATCATGTGTACTCATATTTGTGTTCATTAAATGATTGTAGAAGGGCTTTGTAAATAAGTCTTCATGACATTTTAAATTTGGGGATAATGTAAAACAGAGAGCCCACTTACATGATAAGACTCCAGAAGAGTTATAGAAACAGTTTTCACTTAGGAAAGTTATTATTATTATTATTATTTTTTTTAAATATATTTTTATTGATTTTTTACAGAGAGGAAGGGAGAGAGATAGAGAGCTAGAAACGTCGATGAGAGAGAAACATCAACCAGCCGCCCCCTGCACCCCCCCACTGGGGATGTGCCCGCAACTAATGTACAATACATGTCCTTGATGGGAATCGAACCTGGGACCTTTCAGTCCGCAGACCGACGCTCTACCACTGAGCCAAACCGGCTTTGGCGAGGAAAGTTATTAATTGAGAGAGTAACTAGTTATTATAATAACTAAGGTTATTTCATAGAATATTATAATTAAGTAACGTGTGAAATTTTTATAAAATCTCAGTAAAACAATTTTTTTTTTTCTGGGTTAAAGTTCACTTAACACTCCCACATCAATGAGAGATGATACTTTTCTTTCTGAATTTTCTCCATTCCTCTTTGAAGGGTAAAGTCTTTTCCAAGTCTCTGGGAACTTTTGCAATTCAAGGCAAAAATTGTTCCTACTCCCAAAATGCTTCTGGGATGAAAAAAGCAATTAGAAAATAAATATTGGTTTGAAGACTAATATCGCAGGGAGAAAAGCAATAATGGACCAGACACTTTGGGGCTCATGGAGTGAACTTTTCAGGGTAGGATATGTGGAGTTATTGGGTATGTCCGTCATGAAGAGTATTTTGTCAGGTATAGAGACTTAGAAAAAGGCTGCTGGGAAATGTGAACTTGTTGATATGGATGACTTAGTAGTAATCTTAATTTTCTGTGTAAGCCTTGGATATGATATTCTAAGTGAATGTTTTCCTATCTATAAAATAAAGATGATAATCTGCCTCAAAGGGCTTCTCTTAAGTATGAAAGAAGATTGTGCTTATAAATCAGCTAATATCATACCTGATGGAAACTAAGCAATATATTAATATTAATAAATTGTCATGGATGAAGACAAAGTTTATATACTCTAGTAGCAGCAAACATGTTAGAAAATAATTGGACCTGGTGGGAGACAGTCACAGTGAACACCTTTAGGTAGACAGAAAGGACTTGAGGAAAGAGAGACTCATCC